CTGGTGGGGGTGGTGAAGGTGGAGGTGGGGGAGGTGAGTAAACTGGTGGTGGAGGTGGGGGAGAGGAATAAACGGGTGGTGGAGGTGATGGTGGAGGCGGCGGAGGAGGTGGTGATGGGGGTGGGGGAGGTGGTGGAGGTGGAGGCAAGGGGGGAACGAATGAAGCACAATTAAATGCACTACAATGTATCCTCTTAGACCCAAACGTCTTGCACTGCTTATCAGACCTTTGTACCGGCCTCGCCGGCAAACAATTTCTCCGATCATCAAACGCCTCCAAATTCAAACACACAGGCGGTTCACCGGTGAAGAAATTATCGGAATAAGTAAAATTCTCCAACCTCGGCAACCTACAAATACTCTCCGGTATACTTCCGGACAAGAAATTATGAGCCACATTCAACTGCTCCAAACTCACCATGCCGGATATACTCTCCGGCAACGGCCCCATTAACTGATTAAAGCTCACGTCAAACACCGTCACTTGATTCAACAAACCAATTTCTTCCGGCACACATGACCTCAATCCATTGTTCATCATGATAATTTCATTCAAGGTATCCGACATGTTCCCGATACTTGCCGGAAGACAACCGTGAAACCGATTGTTCCCTAAAACAATCACCGACACCGGCGAATTGCCAAAATTATCCGGCAATTCAAAGACGAACCGGTTATGATTTATAAAAACGGCGTCCAAGTCCTTATCGAATAGTTCTTTAGGAACACCACCTTCAAACTCATTGAACCGGAGATCTAAAAACCTTAATTTCGGTAATTTAAGAACAACGTAAGGGAATTTTCCGGCGAACCTGTTGTTGCTGAGATCGAGTTCGAAGAGTATCTTCAAGTGACGAAACTTCTTCGGAACAGTTCCACAGAATCGATTCGAATTAATATGAAACAATGCAAGATCCTCAAGCAACCCAAGCTCCTCCGGCAAGTACCCAGCGATGTCGCCGTGATTAAGGTCAATTCCGGCGACGGTTCTCTCAGAGCTATTATCAGGAGCGGGAGCACAGAATACACCCGTGTAGTCGCAGACAGCGGATCCCACCCAGTCAACGGTGAGATTTTGTGGATCTGAGAGTATAGCCTGCTTCCAAGCTTGCAAAGCAACGTAGGCATTTCTCAACCTAGGGTTTTCAAAGACAAGCGAGGCGTCGACACTTACATTCTCGCCTCTGTCACCAAACTCATCCCGGTAGTACAGAAGCTGCCGGCGACGAATGTAAATGACCTGATCGTCGGTGAGTGGTCCGGAAAAGCAAAAAACAGAAGCAGTGGAGACGGAAAGCAGCAGCAGCAGGAGAAGGGTTTTAATGTTCTTCATCTGAAGAAACCAGACATCTAAATCAATGGGTGGAATGATGAGAGAGAAAAATGGAGGACGGAGGGTTTTTCTAGGGATTTTGGGAGTTGGTGTGAACGGAGAATGAGGACAGCTAAATCACAGCTCAGATTTTCTCTCTCTAAACAATGACCCTCCGAACGTGAATTTATACTCATTGAATACGACGGAGCGTCGGAGGCCGGCGGAACTCCGGTACCAAGTCATCAATATTCCTTCCTCCCCTCCCCCGTATCAATGACAAAAAGACAAGCAATATTCTCTTATTCACATTTTTTTATTATTAATTTCTATAATTTAATTTAAACCTATCTATAAATCACGTCTGATACGAGGATCGATGAGATGCATATATCTCATTTTAATATGCATTTAAAGGTGAAGATCTCTTTTTACGCTTTTGACATTAACTCTCTTTTCTCATTTGAACACAATCCCTCGGAAATAAATCACTATTTCTTCAACAAAAAGATTTTCAGTATCAAAATACATTGATCGTTAAAGTCGACTTAACAATTATAGAAGGGTATCTTCAACAGATTTTTTTATATTTCTTTAAAATAAATGACATTTAATTTAAAAATAGATTTTTTTTTATCATTTTGAAGATTAAAAGCAATGATTATTGTATTAGAATATATAAAACAAAATTTAAAATAATTTAATATTTAAAAGTATAAATGGGGGGAAGTTAGAGTTTACATAACTTTACATATTTGTCAGCTTGTGTTTGTTCCATGAGAATGAGAGAGACAAGTTCAAATAGCCGGTCAAAAGTCAAACACAAAAAACTTTGCCCCATTTAATTAAATTATAACAAATAAATTAAATTTAGTAAAATATAAAATTGTATTAATGAAAATCTTGGAAATATTTTTAATTTGATTTTAATTTTTAGTTATGTATAAAAAAATTCAATTGGAGATGTTGGTATTAAAAAATATTTTATTAAATTATTAGTTTATGATTAAAAATTCAAACTTTTAACATAAAATAATATTTTGTTTAGAAGAAAGTGAAAATTACTTTTTACTTGAAAACTCCGTCGCCGTGATAGAAACAAGGTGAGATTTTGGTCTTGTATTATTTTATAAAATTATTTAAATTAACTTTTTATGAATTCTAGTAAAATTCTGTAAATTCTATACAAGTGTTTTAATATTATTATAAAAAAAATCTAATAAAATCTCGTAAAATATTAATTATATCTCATGAGAATAGAAAATAATTTTCTATATATTATATTAAATATTTAAATTATATAATTAATATTATAATCTTTAAAATAAGAAGTTGTTAGAAATGAAACGTAAATTTGTTTTTGTAGAGAGAAAATAGATGGCAGCTATAATTTGTATTTTTTAGAAATTAGATCAAGTAATTAAATATACTTTTATATCTTTCATTATTAATATTATTTTGGGATAAAAGATTTATTACCATACAACTAATAATCTTGTATTTTCGTATAATTGTAATTAAATCAATTAAGACAAAGGTTTATTTTAAATCTATACTTACTATATTATAAAGCATTTGACAAAAAAATTAAAAATCATTTTTAAGGGCAACTCCAACCTTCAAAAAAAAAAAACACCAAATAGGTGAGCCCATAAACAAAAAAAAAACTCAACTCCAACCTTTTGCCGTCCATCTCTTCCACGGCAAATTTGCCGTTCATTTTCTTCCTCCGACAAAACTTTGGTGTATTTGGCGTGCAATTGGATCCAAAAGAACGGCAAAACCCTAGTTTTACCGTTCGATTGAAGTTGCTCTTATGCATAAAGTACTGCTTGTTGATGCATATTACTTAAATTTTCGAGATTACAAGTAATTTTGCGTAAGTACAACTTATTAAATCTCATTTTTTGAATTCGTGTAACTAACTGCAGATAAACATAATCAAATACAGGCTAAATATCTCATATTAAATATAAAAAATCTAAATTAAAATTAGGATAATCATTGAGTTCTAAAACAATACTTAATTACTATCTTTTAAAAAATTATATTATCAAACCTAAATTAAATTACTTCGTTACGTAAAATTAAATTATAATAAAAATTTGAATTAAAGAAATTGCACAAAACAAAAAAAATTTAAATAGTTAATTTGATATTAACATCTATATACTCTTTTTAAAATATTATGATGTTTAGAATTTATATTTTATTCAAATATAAAAACATTATCGTTTTCTCAAAACCATATAAAACCGTATTGTATCAATATAAATAAAGAATAAAAAAACATTTAATTGAGATAAGTTTTGATGTATTGCATGAATACCCTTCTAGTTAATTAAAAAACTCTGAACAGTTTAAGAATAAAAATACTAATTTATTTTCATGTTTATAAATAATTTATGTTATGTATCTTCTTTTAATTTAAAACAAACAAAAATAATGAAATAAAATGATAACAAAATATCATGTGATTCATTCTTTTCTTTTTTTCTCTTTAAATAAGCAGTAAATATATTATCTTAATCATTTTAGTTCTAAAATGAAAAAGAACAAGTTTTATCCTTCTAATAATATTTAATTAACACATTTTAAACTAATAATAATAAGAAATTATTACAAAAGGTAAAATGAAAAAAAATAACATTTATTCTTTTAAAATACTATTTTAAGACTAACTATGACAAAAAAAAAATGAATATATAATTTGAAAGGAATAAAATATTAAAAAATTAATCAAAAATAATTGTTAGCTATTTTCCTTCGAAAATTATGAAAATAGCCATAGGTTCACAATTGCAAAACCAAATATGTAAATTAGTTAATAGGTTCGTAAAATTATCCAAGGAGAAATAAAAATTCTTTTGTGATCACGAAGGTTCAAATATGATAACTCCAAACTATTTGCAAAATATGTGGTCGTTCTGGGATTAGTCAGCTCGCATAACGGATTAGATATCCAGGTTAATAAAAAAAATATGACTGTCTTTTTTTAAATTTACATATTTGATTCTTGTAATTTTGAACCTAGTTAAAAAACTTCATTTTTTTCCGACACTTTAACTCCTTTATAAATTACGGGCTATGACTATTTTTATAATTTGGTTAAAAAAAATATATTTAAAATCTTTATTTTATGAAAAGCAGGTCTAAATAAAAATGGTTGGATGGGACCCTGACGTGTCATGTCATGCTCGGTTGTATCGTCGGCGGCTTAGAATAATCACAGATGACGCGTTTCCTTTGACTTGTACTTTAGCCTCATCCACTTGTACATTCCTAAACTCACTCTTCTCCTATTTTTAGATCATCTATTTTAATATTTATTTCAACCATTATCATTTTAGCATATTTTGTGGTCCAATAATATTACACCGTATTTATATTTATACCATATTATAAAATATTTGACAAAAATTCTTAAAAATTATTTTTATGCATGAAATATTATTTATTGATGTATATTATTTAAAATTTAATATTACAAGTAAATTGTATGTAGATACAACTTATTAAAGCTTCATTTTTGAATTCGTATAATTAATTGCAAATAAACATAATCAAATATAAGATAAATATCTCATTTTAAATAATAAAAAATTTAAAGTATAATTATGATAATCATTGAATTCTAACAGAATTATTATCTTTATAAAAATTATATTATTAAGTCAAAAAAAAATTATTTCGTTATCAGACTTAAATTAAATTATAATAAAAAGTTGAATTAAAGGAAATTGTATACAAAGAAAAAGAAAATTTTTAAATAGTTAATTTTATATTAATATCAATATTTTTTTTAAAATTTATCTTTATTCAAAAGTAAAAATAATATATTTCTCAAAATAAAGATGTATCTTGCTACATTGTACGAGTGTTTTTGTAGTTTTTATTAATATTTCATATTAATTTATTAATATTGAAATGGCAAACTATTTATTAGTACTACAAGGTCTCTTTTTTTTTAAACACCCCGAAACAGAAACTTATTTGGTCAAGATAGCAATTGATACGTGTAAATCAATACTTCTTCCCTCCATAAATACAAAAATTAATTTTAGCAAATGATTTAACAAAACCAATTTACTAATAATAGGATGTCTCAAAATATTTTAAATAATGAGTTTTTAGAAAAATTGAAAATAAAAAAACGAGTAAATTACAGTAATCGTCCTTATTGTTTTGACAAACTCTATCAGTCGTCACCTCAGATTTAGAAATTATACGAGACCCCTATCTTGGGAATTTTTACATTATTATTATAGAAATGACCTAAATACTCTCGAACGTCAGGGGAGGAATGGATTCGATTGGTTTTTTATATTTTAAATGATGTAATTGCTTTTATAATAGAATTAAGAAATAAAATGACCAAAATATCCTTCATTAATGAAGCTTAGGGGGAGAGATGATTTATGTAAGTAAAAGTAAATGAGGAAGGGGTATTTTTGTAATTTGGAAAAGTGGAGTGTGAAAATGATATGGAATATTGGTTGTAAATTGTAATAAATTAGTTATGGAGAAGTTGATGGTACGTGGACAAATATGACAGCTTGGCAAGTGACGTGCCGCATAAGCACCTCCGTCCTTGTCATCCTTCGAGAACCCACGGCTTCATTTCTCAATTTCATTTTATAAAATGAAAAATATTATTATTTTATAAAATACTAAAGATGTTGAGTTTATTTAATAGATGATATTTTATATATTAAAATAATTTAATCCAATTTGCTTGTTATATTTTATTAATTAAAAAGAAGACGACTTGGAAGGAACATGGAAATAGAAGCAAATATATGAATAGGATGAAATGCGACAGCTTGGCATGACGTTCTTCACTCGTATATCGTTTACAATAGTCGACTTAGGGATGTTTGGAATTATTTATAAAAATATAACTTATTTCGGTGTGACACCAGTAATAAGCATTTTTGAGTGTTTTGATAAACAACTTATACCGGTAATAAGAAATTTTTAAAAAAGTTAAATCGTTTTATAATAAGTTGATAAACACTTTTGTAGAAAAACATAAGTTGTTTCAAATAAACAATCGCAAACACCTTCTTATCGTTTTTATTACATCAGTTTTTAATTAAATTTTCTTTAAAAATCTATTTTAATATAAAAACTTTAATATTTAATATTTATACTCATCCAAGTTGTTTATAAAAATCCCTCTTCTAAATCATTATTTATTTGTGTTATTTATAAATTATTACAAGATATTTATATTTTTTTAATCATTTTAACAAAAACTTTATAATAATTATTTTGTTATAAAAAG